ACCTATTTTTCTGACAACGTAAAAACTACATTTGTGAAAAGAGATGGATATATCTATCTCTACAATATTTGTGTACGTAATCCCCAGGCTAATCTTTGATGTGCAATATGTACGGCATGCTTAACAGTCTTGACGCATGCGTGTTATGTACGACAAAGTTGTTTTTATCTATTTATTTAACCATAAAATCAAAAATTACATGTTTAATTATAATTTACAAATTTAGGTTCGGTGTCACTCATATAGTTAAAAATTATTCAATGGAGTGGCACCTTAATAAAATAAACAAGTAAAATAAAAAAATATTAAAACAAGGAAATAATAAAGAATTTTTAATAGAAATTTTTTTATGTTGTCCAGGCACGAATGCTGCTGTTGAAAGGATATTTTCACTAGGGAATGATTATTGGAGCAGTGAGAAGTCGCAACTTTCTGTAAAAACATTACCTTTCGTCTTAACAGTCAAATTTAATATGCAAAATGAAAGTTGTTCAGATGTGGCTACATTATTAGACGAACATCCTCATTTAGTAAAAAAAATCCACTCCGAAGAAAAATAAATTTTTAAAAGAAAATAAAGTTTTATTCGTTTTTTTTCTTTTTTTTTTTTTCACCAATGAAATACTTGCAAAGTGTACTCTTTTGGAACAAAAAACAGTTGGTCACCTTAATATATACAGGGCCGGCGCGAGTAGGTGTCACGTGGGGGTGCCTTTACAACTTTTACCGACTAAAAAAAAAAAAGTCCTCGTTTTTTAAATTTTGCTGACTGCATTATCGACTTTTGCCGACTGACTGATTAAATTTACCGACTAACTTGTCCAAAGGGTCTACTTTTGCCGACTGACTAGTATATATATATATATATATATATATATATATATATATATATATATATATATATATATATATATATATATATATATATATATATATATATATATATATATATATATATACATAGGCGCCCGCAGAAAATTTTCTAAGGGGGGCAAAACATTTTTTGTTATTGCATCTATTATGTAAAAATCAAGATATGTAAGATATAAAATAAAGTGAAGAAAAAAATTATATGTCCGTGGAAAAAAGACAATTTAAACTTGTCAGCACCGTTTTTGTGTATAAAATATTCACATTTTTTTTTATTGATCTTTATTAAATGTAAGGAATTAAACAGACATTGGCTCCAAAAAAGATGAAAATGAAAATACAGGAGGGGGGGGGCAAATGCCCTCTCTTACCCCCCCTTGCGGGCGCCCATGTATATATATATATGTATATATATATATATATATATATATATATATATATATATATATATATATATATATATATATATATATATATATATATGTATATGTATATATATATACATATATATATATATATATATATATATATATATATATATATATATATATATATATATATATATATATATATATATATATATATATATATATATATATATATATATATATATATATATATATATATATATATATTATTGTTTATTCTTTTTCCGTGATTTTGGAGGTTCATAAGTTTTCTTAGTAATTGTCTTTTATAGACATCGCGTCGCTCTTATGTTATTCCTAAAAATGACTATTGACATCGCGATGTGTGATTTATTGTATATCTATTTTAAAAAGTTAAAACACAACGTTTTATTAATCTTATCCTTATTAAAAAATTTTATTAAAACGTAAATTTTTTGTTTTAGATATATTAAAATTAAAAAAAAAAAAAAGAGTAATAGAATTTATTTGTTTTGCCATAATTTTTCGCAAAAATGTTTGACAATTAACGAAGTCAGATTGTTTTGCTTTTTGGCGTCAACTAATTATTATTTTTGTTGACATTTAGTGAGCGCGTAATCAAAAAAAAACTTAGCTACTTTTGATTTTAAAATTAGAAAAAAAGTTTTTTTGTAAAGTCTTTTTTTCAAAAAAACGTGACCATTACTAAACTTATGTCAATTAAATAAAAATTAATCTAAAATAATAATAGCAATAATAAAAATAATAATAGTAATAATAATATTAGTAATAATAAACAAATACAGTTTTTAGCACTTAATTCAGTTTGAATCTTGAGTGTTCCTTATCACGTCTCTCGACCTCATTCGTCATAAGTTTTTCGTTTGAGAAGTTTTTCAATTTTTTAATAATTTTATAAATTAAGAAATCATCATAAATCAAAAAATCATCTTAAATTGTCACATTGTTTGGAAAAACCCGCTTGATTTAGAAAACTCAAATAGTTTTGATCTTTTTGGAATTAAAGATTATTTTTAATGTTTAACTTATTTTGTATACTGTTTTATATTTTGTATACTGTATTTTGTAAAATGGTTCCACATCTTTTTTAAATTTTGCTATAAAGATAATATATTAATGAAACCATTGACCAGAGTTGTATATTATTTACGGTAATTTTTTTTTTTTGTAAATTTAAGTTGTTACGTTTGCACATGGTAAAACATATACTTTATACCTTA